ATTCATGCAGGAATAGAAGGACAGCAAGCTGGAAATTAGCATTCCAGAAAGAGGAAAGCCATATGAACAGAGAAAGCCATGAACAAAACATCATATTTTGTTAACGTTCCTAAGTAGTTTAGATTACCAGATTTATTTCAGAATTTCCTTTTCAATTTTATTGCAGATCTCTTTTGGTCACAAGAAAGAACAGTCAACGCAAACTTTGGTCAAGGGGAGTATTATAGGCTAGGCAGAATGACCTGATAGAGAAATGAGGTATGGGCTAGAGACATAGCTCATCTGATAGAGTGTTTGCCTTGCATACATGGACCTGTGGTTCAATCCCCAGCATCACAAAAAGAAAGAAAATAAATGAGACATGAGGCATCTTCTCTAAGGAACTAGAAAGAGGTTAGCACCTCTGTTTTGAAGGCCTATGTATGCATTGCTATAAGAGGGGCTTCCCCAAAATTCTTGAAATAGTCCATGTATGGTAAAATGCATGAAATCATATTCAGTGAGCTTTGGTAAAGATATATAGGTACATAGTCTTTGTCATGATCTCAGCACAGAACATTCCTGTCACTGCCTCCAAGTCTCATGTCCCTGCCTCTCCCGGTGATCTGAGTGTCACTAATTTGAGTGCTACTGTTCCTTCACTCTGTGCCAGCTTCACAGGTGTGGATTCTACAGCATCTTTTGTCTGACTTTGTTCACTTAGCACTATGCTTCTGAGAACTACAGGTGGTCAGGACAAGAGAGGATGTTCCTCCACATAAAGACAACTGAACTGACAGGACAAATGTGCTCCCTGTCACCTCACCCCCTCACCATCACTCATGCCCAACCAACCAATGATGGCTGGAAATTAGCTCATTGTTTGTGGATACAGCCTGGACTGCAATGAGAATATCCAGAAGCCCGTGCTTGATTTTTATGAAGCTCCACCCCTGCACTACATCCCTACCCCCTGTCCAGGGCTGGGATTATGAACATGTACCACCATTCCTGGTTTATGTGGTGCTGAGAATGGAATCCGGGGCTTCCTTCTTGCTAGGCAAATACTCTACCAACTAAGCTACATCCACAGCCTTTGCCAAGCCATTTCTAAGAAAGAATATTTTTGCAATCTTCAAAGAGCATATTCAGATGAAGCAAACACCATCTGCATACCTAAACTCTGATATTTTCATTGTAAATATTGCCTTTTTGTATTCAAAAGAAAGATCTGAGTTTAATATTCAGTTTCTTCCATGTGCCAGAGTAGAGACTGCTGGGATTCAGTTTTTGTTTTGTTTTTTTTAATCCATAGAGTGGAAATAGTTATACCTTCCTAGAAATGGTGGAAAGGATTTAAAAATATGATATATGTAAAACCTAGTACCATGTAAATAAAATATGTGGAGCTTAACACAGTTGCTCAAAAAGGATTGTTATATTTGTCTTGTTCTAAATATGTAAGGATCTGAAATTAGTTTGTGAAAGTCACACTGAACTAGAGTAGGGTTGAGTTGTTAAAGCTCTGCATTTTAGTTCATGTATTAATGAGAGCAGAAGAGTAATATTTATTGTACCATATGTTACATATATATGCATATATATTTATGTGAATACAAATTTCAAAGCTAAAAATCTGAACATCCCTTTCCCCTTCACCCTTTCCAATCCTGCTCCATTCTATTTTTAGTGTTTACCTGTTACATAGGATCTAAGCATTAACTCAGTGGACAATACTAAGGAAGAGAAGATGAGAAACCTCAGCACAGCCATAGGCCACCATGAGGCAGCTTCGTGGCTTCCCGGGAAAATCTGCTGCTACATGTCTAGGCTTCTCTGTGTTGCTTGTCCTCAGCCAGCCATCCTCTTCCTGTGTTGACCCTTCACTTTAGCTATCTGTGCATGTTTGTATGTGCAAGCACATGTGTGTCTATGTGTGGGGGTCAGAGGGAAACCTTGGGTGTCATTTCTCAGGCACTGTCACCCTCTTCACTTTACTGAGACAAGGCCTCTCACTAGCCAGGAACTCATAAAGTGGGCTGAGCTAGCCTTTAAGTCCCAGGGATCCTTGAGTCTCTACCTCCCAAACACTGGGATTGCAAGTATCCATCATTAGACCCAACTTCTCTTTCTTTAAAAGAATTAAGGAAGTGTGATGTGTGTGTGTGTGTGTGTGTGTGTGTGTGTGTGTGTGTGTGTGTGTGTAGGCACACATGTACCTCAATGTTCATGTGGTGGTCAAAGAACAGCTCTCTGGAGTCTATTCTCTCCTACCATCTTATAGGATCTGAGAATCGAACTCAGGTCAACAGGCCTGTTCACAAGCACAATTACACCATCTCACTGGCTCCCAGATTTTTGTATGTGGGTCCTAGGGATGGAACTCATCTCTTTGCATTTGAAAGGTAAGCAGTTTACTGACCCAAGCTATCTTCCCAGTCTTGCTTAAGCCCAGACACTCCTGGCTATCCTGTTTGGTGGCTCCTGACTTATTATCCAAGTGACCAGCTTTCTTCTGCCCCCTCAGTCTCAGCGGCCTTGTGGACCAGAGAGGTGAATCCTCATGGCATTCAGGTATGCCATGAATTAGGTTCCTCTTTAGGACTCTTATTGGAGGGCTGGCCATGATGCTGATAACCATCCCTCCAGGTCCTTTATCTAGGCAGACAGGGCTGTTCTAAGTGAACCCACAGAACAGGAGAAGGCCACAGAGGCTTTCAAAGATTCTACAGGAAAGAATGTCAGGAAAGATGGGGAAACAGGTAGGACTCGGGCTCCAGAAAAGTTTCCTTTCCCCCAGGATTCTGGAATTACTGGCTTTCAGCAGAGGCTCTTGGTTTCCTGCTCAGGGTTCCTCATGGGTCTGAGAAAACCCTACTCCAGTGCTGGCAGTTCTGGCTGCTAATGCTCACAGCTGGACCCTCTATGGAGAAATGCTCTGGGTGTCTGTAGCTGATGGGTACATGTTCTGCATTTTCCTTAAGAGGCTCATTAGCAATGTCTAACTTGTAAGGAAAATGGTATCTATCTCAAGTAAGCAATTCTGTTAAAATTCCCACTCGAGAGTTCACCCCAGGAAGCTTGCTCCCTTGGAGGTCATGTGCTGACTTAAGCTCCTCCATTTCCCCACATCCAGAAAACATTCCTTTAGTAAATCACTGCTGCCTCTGTCTTTCTCCAGCTTTTCCTTTAGGGAAAAAGGTCCAAGACACTCTTTGAGACACTATGTTTAATTTCACAAAATGGATATGTTCAAGGTCTGTTTCCTCAACCCCAAATCACATTGCTCTTCCTCACACTGACCATTGGTTTCCTGCCCTTTCATCCCTCAGATGTCATCCTGCGCTGCAGGTGCCCTTCCCCAGGACTGACTTTCTTTACTCCTTGCCTAAGTCAAATTCCTTCTTATTGACCTCCTTAGATGTACCATATCCCATCCCAGACAATCAGTTGTCCTAAGTGGAATTTAATGGTTATTTGGTGAACAAGTGACCACCCATCAGGATTGGAAACATCCTCTCTTTTGTTTTTATACCACATTCGTAATGCCTTCATCAGTGTCCAGAACATGTAGGTATGTAGGTATCAATGAACATTTGTTGAAGGAATGATGTGAAAGATTAAAACAAAAGAGAACTGCCAGCACTGCCAGGGGGTGTGGCAAGAGCAGGTCTGACACCTCTCAGAAAGGACTGGGCATCCTGCATTTGGTAGTCTGGATACCATGGGTAATAATGGAGATCTATTGTGGAATCATCCTCTTGTGGACTATAAAGATCTGTCACTCTCATTGGTTAATAAAATGCTGCAGGAGCTAGGCAGGAAGTACAGGTGGGGCAAACAAACTAAGAATGCTGGGAAGGAGAAGAATGGAGTCAGAGGAGTCACCAGCCAGACTCAGAGGAAGCAAGATGAGACTCTCATACTGAGAAAAGGTACCAAGCCAGATGACTAAACATAGCTAAGAATTATAGGTTAATTTAAGTGTAAGAGGTAGTTACTAATTAGCCCGAGATACCAGCCAGGCATTTATAAGTAATATTAAGCCTCTGAGTGGTTATTTGAGAAATGACAGACAGGAGAGAAACCTCCCATTACAGAGATCAAAGTAGTGAAGTAATGAAACCTAGAGCTGGACCTCAGCAGAGTGGTGGGACACTGCAGTGTGCAGACAGCTCTTCCTACACCAGCAGGGATAAAGAATAAGCAACCCAAGCTGAGGTGTGTTCTACAGTAATGGGCTTTTATGGGGTGTGGAGCTCTTCTGTTACCATTTCCCTGTTATACTCCTGGCAAGTTAATGACTTCTGCATTCCCAGGGGAGGCAGGGGCCCAGCTTTCATGGCCTCCTAAGAGTTGTGCTGCCTAGAACTGCCCCTTTCCTAGCATTTGTGACAACCCACTGCTGGTGTTAAGAAGCCTTGGTAACCTTAGCCCCAATCTCAGTGGGGATGCTTGTTGTAGCTAAAATCGGAACAATTAGCTACAGGCTTTGGAGGCACCATAGTGCCCTGTGCATCTAGTTAAGGCAGCCAATGTACAGTTTCATATCCACAGGAGTGCTGATGCCTCTGGCTAGGACAAAACTAGAGTCTAGGTGGTCACCCAGCCTGGAAGCCAAGTAAGAGTTTGATGTACATTGGTTGTTTTCATAAAATTAAATTAGACATTTTATAAAACTCTGCATCATTCTGAAAACTGTAAGATTTTGGAAATGGCCAGACTTATGTTTCATTGAATTAAACTGAGTAGCTTTCAGAATTATGGACCTCACAGGTTATCTAGTTTAGCACCTCCTACATACCATGTAACAAAAATCCCTGTGGAATTACCTTCCTCCTCTGAATCGTGCTTTAGTGGCAAGGACCTTCCTTGTTTCTGTGACAGTGTCATCTTTAGACATCTCTTTAGCTGATATGACAGGTGTATTTTTAAAATTAGATATCACTTCTTATTTTCAAAAAAGTCTTCTTTCTATTCCTTTTTGAAGACTTTTTTTTTTCTGTTGTGGTGGCAGGTGATATGTGGACAGCAATAAAGAGATTAAGAGTCCAAGAGCTGGGACTTGAGCTCTGATGACCAATCCCAAGGCCAAAAGCATATTGAGCTGACTCGGAAAGGAGGAGAACCTCTCCTGGGACAGGAGTTTGCTCTGCCCACTGAGGACCATGAAGCAGAAGGTAAGCTGGTATCACACCTGATAATGGACCTACATATCTGAAAGCAAGCCAAGACATAGCTCAGAAGAGAGGATAGAGTCACGGCCTCCTGCTCTCTACCTGGTAGCAAGCCAACACCATCATCTCTCTCTGAGTGATGATCTTGCACAGTTTCCAGCAGCAGATTCCCCAGCACCAGCCATGTACATCACGTTATTCTATTCACTTTCTTTCTGCTCTTAGTCCTTTGCTCTCCCGCACCACATGTGACCCCTAGAGACAGAAGTCTGCAGCATGTTTCTAATTTCAGGTGATTACTGTATGCAGAAAAAACATAGCGTAGATCTGATCTACTAAGGAAAACAAATGCAGTCAGTGTACAGTTTAACCTGCATTTAAATGACTCATAACATCAGTGTCCACTGCAATTTCATCAGTAAGGAAAGACAAATGTATTTCAAGCAAAATTAGTTCATTATTAGACTAGATGGGAGATTGGCTTTCTACCCAATGCATTTGCACACATTGGCAATTAATTCACTAAGGTACATCTTAGGCCTATGTAAATGTTTAAACTTAATCAAACTACAGGTCCACTACCATGTTTTGCTTGGAAGAGGGAAGTTAAAGGATGCTAGTCTAATTTATAAATGTAAATCTCACCTATTATACAGTCTTTGTTCATAATCTTTTTATGTACAAGCTGAAGCCAATCTTTTTATTGTCTAAACATCTGTGAGTATTAGTTTATTTGTATAATTCAAATATGTTCCATTTCTCCTTAAATTACATAGCCAGATGAAGATAAAAGAATCCACATCAAAACCATGCCATAAAATAGCACTCCATCCCACAGTATGTACTATCATATGCTATTTTAACATATTGTCTCTTTAAGAGAGAGATAATATACAAACCAAAAATTGCCCAATTTCTCCTTAAACTGATAAGCAGACAAATAAGATTCTAATGAATGAGTTTGGGTTTTATGAATCTAATTCAAATAAATTAGGTAATTGTCACTGAGTTGCAAACAAAGCTTGTTTTCCTTGTTGATTTGATAACAACCCAGGAAACTGCACCATAAATTTGGGTAGCTGGTACAAACTGAATACAATTTCAAGTTCACACTATATTTGAAGAAAAGGGAAAATGAATGTACAGCTCCTTACTAGCTTTTCCTGAGGTTAATTTGAACAAAAATTAATATTTCACTGTTTTATGTTCACAATTGGGGGTGACATCATTAGATCTTTAATGTGAAAATTGCAAAATCTAACTCCCATTTAGGAATTATATAATAGAGGGTCCTTATTTAAAAGTCAGAACTTACTGTCTGTTAGCTTTCCAAATACAGACATTCAAATTGTTTGATTCTAATAATCTCATGTGTTAGCCATGGTGATGCCATTTATAAAGCTCTTTCATTTTGGTTAATTGATGGCCATTTCCCCAAACCACAATAATTAGCACTCCCAGATTTAAAGCAACTTGTTTTCCTAAAACCTTGCTGACCCCTCATGATATCTGGCCATGAGAGATGTTTATTCATTTTCCTATGTTCTTTACTCACTATTTAATGCTCTCTGGTTACTCATAGCAACAGCCAATCTTGGGCATTTTAATCTCCATCTCCTATCCTTCCCTCCCCCCGACTCTCTCCCTGCAACTATTCCTAGTCTATAAGTAGGGAGATCTCTATTTTCCTCATATAGAGACCTCCCTTTCACAGGTTTTCTTAAATTAAATTAAATTTGTTGTGTGGTCAAAGTTGTTTCCTTTCTGTCTTTCCTTTTACCATGTGGTGATTATAGCTGGTTACTCTTCACTTGTAAATGTGAAATCACTTGTCAACTGATCAAGAATTTGGAGTTTCAGCTGTGGGTTAAAAATGTTTGTAATTACAGTTTTTATTACCCCATCATGATGCACAAGGAGTGTAGACAAAAAATGTATCAGTTAGCAATACAAAAAGATAAACACAACAATAATTCATGTGATCTAAAATGGGCAAAAACAATAGAGCTTCCCCTCAAGAAGAACAATCTCAGACCTACAAAATAGATGACAATACTAATAAAAAAAAAACAGTACTTAGACGAATTCAGAATGTCAACAAAACAGCTGTGACTTATCTTTGCCGGTGCAGAGAGGTATGGGGAACATCAACAAAACAGTATTTATTTTCTGTTAGCTGCACGAGACAACCGAAGATTAAAAAATCATCATCCTTTTCCTTTAGCACATCTTGTCTTCTTCCTCTCTGAGCATTCCGTAGAAAACTCTTGCCCACTGACTGAAGTACCTGGATGTTGTTTTTTGTGCCCCTCTGGGCAAGTGTTAACGGATAGCCCATGTGACATTTTGCCTCTTCGCTTCTTAGATCTCCTTTGCGTGTGGCTAGTTGTTTTTTGTTTTCAAATGAAATACATAGTTGCCTGGTGTCCATTCTGTTCTCACTTGCCTTAGCACTGTTCAATCTTTTCTTCTCTTTTATTTTTGAGTTTGTGTGTATGCGTGTGTGTGCGTGTGCGTGTGCGTGTGTGTCTGTGTCTGTGTCTGTGTCTGTCTGTCTGTCTGTACATGTACATGCAGGTGCACATGTGCATGTGTGTATCTATTGTTTGGAGGCCAGAGGTCAACCTTGGGTGTCATTATTCAGGTATCATCCACACTTTTTGAGACAGGATTTATCACTTGTCTGGATGTGCCAAGTAAGGTAGAAAATGTAGAAAGTAAAGGATCTTTGCATTTTCATCCCCATGACTCCTGTCCTAGGGTTTCTGTTGCTGTGAAGAGACACCATGACCATGGCAACTCTTATAAAGAATAATGTGTAATGGGGTGGCTTACACTTTCAGAGGTTCAGTCCATTATCATCATGGAAGGACATGGCAGAACATAGGTATTTGGGGGACCAGCCCCCTGCTTTTACAACCACGGTACTCTTGAGCAGGAAGAAATGGGACATATTTAGATAGAGATACCTAGATGACAAGAGGAAAGACAGAAACACAGGATAGCCTTGGGAAGGCCTGGGTCAAAACCCACCAGCCCAGAACTTTATTCAAAGGGGCTTTTTATAACAATGCCAAGGGGTGAAGGCAAAAAGACCTCCCCCTGCTAGATACAACCAAGTGTAGACCTTTCCAAACACCTGGTACCCAGGCCCGTGGCCCAATCATCCTTTTATGCAGTCCTGCTGGGTAAAGCCACTAGGAAACCTCGGTGGGCTCCAACACAGGTAGACATGGTGCTGGAGGAGCTGAGAATTTTACATCTTGATCTTCAGGCAACAGGAAATGGTCTGTCTCACTGCGTATGGCTTGAGCATATATGAGACCTCAAAGCCAGCCTCCACAGTGACTCCCTCCAACAAGGCCACACCTTCTAAGGATGCCACTCCCTTTGGGGGCCGTTTTCTTTCAAACCACCACAACATCCTTCCTGTCAGAAACAGCCATACAAACAGGAACAAGTCTAGTTTACCTAAGTTTATATAGTTCTTGTACTGTGACTGAGAGCATTTTTGATCTGGAGAGACCATTTTCATCATAGGGACACACGCAGGCTAAACTTAGGGGAAGCAGGCAGTTGTCTGCTGTGGAGACTGGCAAGGTCAAGGGCAGGGGTAAATTTGCAATGGTGTCTTCAAACTGGTCTAAGTGGCTGTTTCAGGATTGGGTACTGACAGAGGCCTAATCTTTTAACCTGAGCACTTTGGCTTCTCAGGACCAGCTTGTTCCAGTGGCAACCAGATGGATTCAGAATCCTGAAAGACAGAGTACTCCGTTGAGGCGGACAGCTTGAAGGGGGCAGTGGGTACTGGTAGCAAAACAGGCGGAGGTGTTTCTCCCCTGGCTCGCCTTAGATCTCCATGCTTGCCCTTTTTTCGTGAAATGTTTTCCAGGTTTTGATATCAAATGACTTTCATACTTTTATGCTCCAGGACTCATATAAAAATCTAGGCATGGCTATGTGTGCCTGTAACTCCAGTACTGGGGGGATGGAGATGGCAGATGTTGAGAGCTCACTAGTCAGCTAGCCTAGCTGAAACTGAAAGCTTCTCATTCAGTGAGACTCTGCCTCAAGGTAAAGGAGTGGAGAACAGTGATAGAAAGAGACTCTTGACATCCTGCTTTGACCTTCACATGCACACACATTGGTACACTCACCCACACATCCATGTGCATGCAACACACACACACACACACACACACACACACACACACACACACACACACACACACACCATAGTTAGTGTTAGTGCTTGGCTTGGATAGGTGTCACCCTACACAAGGTCCCTGTGTTAGAGGCTTGGTCCTCATGGCAGCACAGTTGTGGACCCTCAGGAAGTGGAGCCTGATAGGAGGTCCGTTAGCAACTGGGGACATAGTTCTGAAAGGAGTTTGTACTGCAGCCTTTTCTCTTTCACTTATATACCCTGGCTAATGAGATGACTGGTTTTGTGCTGCTACCCAGTGTCACAATGATACAGTGCTTTACTACTTACCCAAAATGGTAAGATCACTTAATCATGAACTAAAGCCTCAAAAATTCAGGGCAAAATTAAACCCTGTTCCTATACATTAAGTCACTAAGATATTTTGTTATGGTGACACATGTACATATGTGCATGCTCCCTCTGCCATGCCTCTGTTCCTCCCAAGCACATGTGACAGTAAACAACTGGATGGAAGGCTCCATCTGTGGAGAACTGTGGGAACTGTGACCCAAAAGAAATCCTTTCTCCCTTAAGTCATTCTCTTGGGTATTTTGGTCAAGTATTTGGAGCTTATTTTATATGGATTACAAAGTATGAGGTAACCTCATAGGATAGGACTTTTAACAACCTTGGAATTAACCTGATTGACCACTCTGACTTATAGTTCCCTGCTAGGAACTAGAAACTGCTGAGAATGCAGTGTCATGTGATAAAAGAAAGCTGACTGGGACAGCCAGGGCCTGGGTTGCAGGGCTGCCTCACATGACTTCTAGGTTCCCATTGTCCTTTGCCTGTC